AAACGTGTCGTACGGCGCGGGCGACGGCAGCGTCCTTCGCGGGCGGACTTCCGTTATTTCAACATTTCGTCTGCGGGCGGGGAGGGCGCCATGGGCGGGCTCTCTGGTATGGGCTGTCGTCTGGAAAAGTTATGGAAGGTTTTATTCGAGATATGCATGAATGTAGAGAATCACAATACGTATATATTTGTATAAGTGTACACACACACACACACACACACGTGTGTGTGTAGTATATATATATATATATATATATATATATATATATATATATATATATATATATATATATATATATATATATATATGTATATATATATATATATATATATATGAATGTATCACTATGTATATAAGTATGTATATATAATATATAATATATATATACATATATAAATATGTATATATATTATATATATATATATATATAATATATATATATATACATATATAAAAAGAAATACATATATGAATATTCATACACACATAGAACATACACATTTGTATAATGTGGAAAGAGAGGGTAATGTCCATATCACCATAGGCAAGCCTTCTTGATGATTGTTAGGTAATAAAATAAAACTTAGTTATTTACTTTACATGTCTATTTACGTTGAAAAGTATGAGATGTATGATGTTCTAATGGAAAATTACCTTATTTAGTAGGGTCAAGAGAGAGGGTGATGGAATGAATGTACTCTTCCCAACGATTTTGTGCACCCTCTCCCATACCCATTTATTCCTGAGACCATCGGTACTGGTTTCTATTACGTTTTTTTTTTTTTTTTTTAGATTATCATTACTGTTTTGATTTCTAAAATAAATCCCCGATATTGGGTACTGCTTCCCTCCTTGAGATTACCGATGATTAGTCCCTATTAGCTTCTGTCTGGCCTTAGCACGGGGTCCTTTATTAATATGGATCAAGGTTGTATTACTGAGGGCGCCGTTTCATGAGCCGTCCATTGCATCATGGTAGTCATTTCTTCCGGCTGACAAATTGACCTTTATGAAGCATGGGAACTCCTGTGGCCAAGAAATGCACCACGATCTTAGTCATAACCTTATCTTTCACCTGTTTCCTGCTATTCTTAGTCATCATTATTTACAACCCTGAACTATATACCTCCTTACTGGTGACGTGAGTCTGCTTTTTTGACGTGGAATATTTTAGGTTTAGGATTCCTTCTACACTAGTTTCTACTTCGACTAAAATCTGCCGATGCTGGTTTATACACTGACTGAGTAAAAGCCGAGATGCAGGAGTATATTATATAGCAGCGGAGGTTCTTGTGGTTGTGGTGGCGGCCTTACATCTGACGAATCATGGCAATCACAAGCAATACTATGTCTCATACCATGAAGGAATAAGTTAATATTTCGACCAGCAGACTACAGTGCGTGTGATAGCTTTTGAAATGTTTCGTGAAGGAAAGTGCGAGTAGAACCGAGGCAAAAGTCACACCCAACTCTAAAAACGGTTTTAAATCTTTGCTTTTCTGAAATCTAGTACTCTCTCTAAAAGTTATATCTGTCACACTTAGAAGCTGGGTGAGATTTGTGGTGATAATATATCGCTGGGATAAGGCAATCCCTTGATTTTAACTTTAATAGCCAGTAAGATCACAGCTGATACTCAGGGGCTGTTTCCAATAAAACTGGGTCATATCTAAAACACGAAGAAACTTTTATGAGTTTATATCCTAACAAGGCTTACCATCTGATAATGTAACACCTGATTACAGACATGAGCAACCTAAATAATGAAATTGCGAATTTATTAATAAATAGATTCAATGAACACACCCACAATGCATAGATATATACTCACACGTGCATATATATGTGTGTGTGCGTGTGTGTGTTTACGTTTGTGCTTATTTGTATATATATATATATATATATATATATATATATATATATATATATATATATGTATGTATGTGTGTGTATGTGTGTATTATATATACAGTATATATATGTATGTGTATATATATATATATATATATATATATATATATATATATATATATATATACGTATGTCTAAGTCTGTGTCTGTATGTACATACATATATATATCATGTGTAAATATATATATATACACACACATACGTACACGTATATATATATATATATATATACATATATATAGTACGCACACACACACGTATGTGTATATATGTGCGTGTTCGTGCGTGTGTGTATATGCAGTATATACAAATACAATACATACAATGCGCCAAGCTCCTAGCCAGACTGAAGGACACAGAATGGAATAATCATAACTATATCTTGATAAGCGACACACAAAAACACCCATACAGCCCACATTGTTCCTAGCACGTGTTAAAAAAGGGGGAGTCAACCGATATCAAAATCAATCAGCTAACCACCCGCGCGGCGTAGTAGACACAAAACCGTAAAATGGACAATGCTAATCGAGATTTCGAAACCAAACTACATCGGTATCTATCTCCTGTCTCGATGGTACTCCCTAAACCTTTTCTCACGCTCGCCGCTCAGGGACATGATACAACAAGATAATTTTCTGCATACGGCCCTGAGTTATATCTCTTTTATTTACGGGGTGGGTGTTGTCTTTGATACGATCGATTGTCCTTGTTACAGAAACACTCCAAAACGAGGTCGTGGTAGATAGGCTCCGTTAATCATGCTGTTTTGCTAACGAAGAAGACAATGGAATAGAGTCATGGTTACTGAAGATGATTCGTTCTTTAAAAAAAATAATAATAAAATAAAATTTAAAAGATAATATACGAAATTATACAGGCAAAAATAGTAGATACTATATCCTTTACTTAATTATTACTATTTTTTAAATACAATTACAACCAAAAGTAAATATGATATTGATAATGATGATTAAGATAATAACACTAAGAATGGTGCCAACAACAGCAATAATAACTATAGCAGTGATAACTTCAAGGATAATTTTAATGATATAAACAAAATATGGTTAGTATAATGATAAAACATAAATACGCGAAAGTGCCGGGAAAAGTATGAGTAAGAATTTAATATTTTCGAATGACGAAAGAAAAATAAAATAAAATCACATATTGACATTACATATTTCACCTTACTTAACAACAACGGTAATGGCATCAAATGATAATAATAATTACATCAATGATAAATAGGCCAATGAGATAGCAAACAAGAACCATAAATGTATCCACACTTAGTGTTATCATGGTTCCTATGGGTGCTTGGTAACAAGGGTGATAAGCTTTTATGTGCAGTACATTTTAAAAGATGCACACACGTGCACACACTGTGTATGTGTGTGTCAGTGAATAGATACATGAATGAATAAGTATCATCTATCTGCATATATATATATATATATATATATATATATATATATATATATATATATATATATATATATATATACACACACATATGTATATATATATATATATATATATATATATATATATATATATATATATATATATATATATATATATAGGCACACGAGTATTTGCGTGTTTGTTTTTTTAATTGACAGATGGTTGAAAAAAAAACACAATGCACAAATTACATTTATTGCAAATGAGACAACAGTTTCTGCGTCCTCCTAGATATGATAACATAAGTTTAGAAAACCGTATATAATCAGCATATCAGAATCCTTGATGAATTGTGAAAATAAAGTAAGGTTCGATGTTCACTCCGCCTCCCTCGTAAGTGGTCCAAGGGCAAAACTTGTCCTTTTAATTGCCTGATAACGATATATCTATGTTTTTCCCTACGTTTCTATTTTATCAAATGTCTATCTTTTTTTCTTCCAGTCAGGGTTAAATGTTTAGGCAAGCTCGTTAGCATGAATGGGAAAATATTATAGTTGAGATTTTGCAAGAATGGATAAAATTGACGTGAAAATAAGACATTGGTATAGAGGATTGTACTATCACCCGAGGTACGGTCTCCTTGGTGGGTGGTTCTACAAGGGAAAGGATGGTTAAAGTAATGTCCAGGGCTAGAATATTTTTTCTCTGGTTCCTAAGCAGATTTTCATCAATTGTCGTAGTGAAATCTACGATACTGAATAGCCTGCAAACAAATTTGGGACTCATTTACAAAAGCCTACATCGTGGTTCTGTTTACCCGCCATCCTAAGCATGGACTGTATTGGTTTCTTTGCCATATACCCCTTGGATATGAACCTCTGAAACGCTTCTGCGAATTCTTTTGGGCTTCGAACACAGTAGAGCATATGATGGGAACCGTTCGTATTGTGCATCCACTGTTTCCTAGAATCCTGGCCACAATGCGTAAATGGAAAAGACAGTTTCTCAAGTACATATACGAAAGCCCATTGTATTGTTATGTAATGGTGTTCAAGGGGAACCATGGAGGACTACCCCCGTCAGTCTACGTGAATTGTATTAATAAAAAAGTGCTGCTTTAAAATTAATATTCGATCACAGGAATGGAAAGTTAAAAGTCACAGACACTGCAGCTATATTGCTCCAAATAAGACATTTATGTAATGCAATAACTTTAAAGTGGGTAGAATAATTATATTCTAGTGATTCTCTTCAGGCACTATGTTGCATATTATTTCTATATTATTTATGTAACAAAATTCAGAGGAATATACATTTTGATTACATTTATACAAGTATATGTTTAACTGTATACATGCAGATTTATTACATTCTTCATGTTATATTCACAAACCGCAGTCATTACATGAGATTTTTTTTTTAGAATTAAATGCATAAAATGGATTTATCATTTTCGTCTGCCTTGTCTTTACATTTATTCTTCTTGATAGGTGGATTTTGACTGTAGGATATTTTCAGAAGTTGCCTCATACATGATCAATAATATAGCTATTTGAGAGGAGACTTTTGTGAAAAAAACAAAAAACATCGGTAAATAATTATTCTGGTAACTGATTCTAAAGTCAATCGCACGTTTTTTTGTTTTTTTTTTTTTTTTTTTTGTCTTCTGTAACTGTTT